CTTCTCAGAATTTCACCATTTTAAATGACTCCATTTTTACATATTTTCATTGGGTTTGGAGCATTGCTAATACTTCAAGATTTTTTTTTGAATTACTCAAAAAGATACACATACATATAATGATCAAAAAATAAAAATATATTTTAAAATATTTCATGCATTTAGTTTGTCGATCATGAAAGATGCCTAATTGAAAAACATGAGATCTTACAATCAAGATTTATATTGAAATTAATTATTGGTTAAAAAGATTTTTTATCAGTATAAGAAAAATAATATCATTTATTTTTTGTTGCCCCTGCTGATTATAGCAAAGTTTCTTGATTTTCTTGCTGTAAAGTTTGCTCAGTATGAGTATACATAACTCAAGCAACTTTAGAATTTTAATCCAAACCAGCAGTAATATTTATGAGGATAAATCTCAGTAATTCGAGTCATCATAATGCATTTCTAAAGCAAGTCATAATTTAAAGTCAGTGACACATTTAAAAAATAGTAAAATAAAAAAACATAATATGAAGATTAAAAGAATTTCTACTTACAAATCAATTTTAATGCTGGTGTGTGAATTAGTTGCACAAAAAAATACTGAATGTACAACAATGATAATTCTGTTAACCAACAAATTTTCTTTAAGTCTTATTTACTTTAATAAAATTCTCTAAACTTATACTGTTTTTGTGAATATAGAGGAACTATTGAAATTTCCTCACATGACTAATATAAAAAAAAAAATGACAGACTGTATAATGTATTCTATTATTTCATAATTAATACTGAAGTCATGTATCAAGTGCTTTTCTTTATTTTTTTTTTATTTATGAGAATGTGTTATATTTTATGAAGTCAAGGTCTATTGAGATTATCAAAACAAAAAAAGGTTGTGCATCTCCAATTATATTTTAACAAGATTCAAAGAAAGAGTTAGAAGAAAACAATAAATAAAAATCACCGGGTATCAGCATTAACCCTTTAATTGCAAAATGATATTTTATCACACACGCACATACACACACACACACACTTTAATAGATGAAAAAAGTTTAAGTCTTTTCTTTCTGACTTGAAGTCACAGTTCTTTGGAATTTTTATTTATCTATTAACTCTTGTTGCTCCGTTTCTTTCAATTGAGCACTTTCTATACAAAAATCTCCTTAAACTCCAGTAATTTACTGACTGACATGTTTTGTTAGCCATTAACAAACATATATATATATATATATATATATATGATAAAAATATACTTTTAAGGTATGTTATATTTATGGGCAAAAGTGCTCAATATCAGGGATAGTGTGTATCTAAACATAAAAGATGACACCGAGTTCAACACCAAGCAGTAACAGTCCGTTTTATACTTAAACGCGATCTTTAGGCCTGAAGATTGCATCCAAACATGAAACCCTGTTGCTGCTTGGTATTGCCATCAATGTCCACTTATATATATATATGAGGATCAATACAAATAAAATTTATCACTTCGCTGATTGATTTTTGTGTGTGCATGTGTGTATGTATCTAAAGAATTGGAGAGCACATTTTCTTTAATAAGTTTTCTCAAGTACACACACCAGTAGATGTATAAAAAAGAAAAACAGGGGTCTTATATATATATATATATATATATATATATATATATATATATATATACACACACACACACATATGCATACGTACATACGTACACACACATTTCCATTTTGTTTGTGTTTTATAGGGTGAGTAATCAGTTAACTTTTAAAGTTCCCATCATTCCCCATAATGTGGGGATAATAAAAGTTCTGGAGACATTATTGAAATTAATTTTTACTTTTCCATCAACAAAAGATAACCTCAAATATCAATTTTTTTTATGCATATCTATTTTTCTTTGACTTCATACTTTATATATTAAAGTTATTTTTTTTTCAAGCTTTTGATAGCAGAACATTGAAAACAACAGAAAAAAACTGCAGTAAATTCAAGTAAACATCCTTGAAAAAAAATGGTCATTTTAAGAATAACTGATTACAATCTGTTAACATCAGTGAACTTTCCTCTGTATAGAAGAATATTTCTACTATATTAAACTGAGAGAGGCTCTGAAGTAATAAGTTATTTTCAGAATTTTATACTGTTTATAAAAATTTGAGCATAAGATTATTAATGCTATCAAAAACTTCAAAGAGATATACTATCAAAATAAGGAATATTAAAAATAACTCTCATATAATAAAATTATTTTTGAGTTTCAATTCCAAGGTGGGAATTCAGATCAAATAAATAAGCAAAACAAAAGAAACAATATTGATTCACAGCTCATGAAAAAACAAAATGTCTGATTAATTTGGAATGATTTTGTTGATGGAAATAAGTGAGCTCTTTTCTCACTTGTAACCCTGTCCCACATTTTTTTAAATTCACACCATTTGTATATGAATCCAAATAAAGTTAATAAAATCCTTTTATAGATATTTCTTTAAAATTATCATCAAACTGAAATCAAAAAGTCAATCTTTCTTGACACTTGTGGATCCTGTCAGCATTGGCAGTTCAGTATGTGTAGCAACATCCTCTTTCTCTGATTCTTCACTTTCAATGATGTTGGATCTATTTTTCTTTTTAATATTATTAAAAGAGACATCAGCTTCTGACTCACTATTTGCTAATGACTCATGAGCCTTGTCATCTGTCACAGAACCACTGTGTTCACTAGACAAGGAAGACTTTTTACCCTTGGCTCTTTTGACATTCTGAGAGTCCTTGCACACACTCAGAGACAATCTCTTTGTATTGTCATCACCCATTTCCCGTTTTGAGTGAGCAGGTTTTGATTTTTTACCAATGGCTCCTCTTTTAGGTTTTTTATCTTTTTCTCCAAAACTTGAAGACTTATTTGTTCTACATTTCTCTTCACCATCAGTATTGTTATTGCTACTGCTGCTATCCAAAATGGAAACGTTTTTCTTTTTTTTTGTGATGCTAAACATTTTAACAGGTTTTTCTGAATTCCTGTCCATGTCGGAGTCTGAACTATCCAAGATAGTTGGTCTTTTAGGACAGCTCCTTAGAACGATTTCATTTTCACTGTCAGATGATATTGGAGAGCCAACTTGGAGCTTCTGGCTAGAAACCTTCATATGTAGTTTTTTCAGTGTCCCTTTCACTTTATTTTGTTTCTTTATTTTTGCAGCAGAGTCATCTGAACTCTCTAATGACTCCGATGACTTCTCTTGGTGTCGGTTCCCTAAATTTTTTGACCGACCTTTTTTTGAAGAGTTTTCAGTATAACGTTTCTTAGCAAGCTTTTGTTGCCTTGATTTGCACCTGGTGAGAGTGTCACTATCATCATCTGAGATGGCAAAGGGGCTTTCTTCTCCACTTGTGTAGGCTGCATCATAGTTGTACCGCGATTGGACATGTACAAAGTCATTAACAAGTTTTCGAGGACGCAATGTATTAATGCCTTTCGTTGGCATATCAATTATCTTATCCCAGACATCTGCTCTAGTCGGCATGGTGAATTCCTCTTTATTTTTACGTCTTTCTGAAGACCGCCTGGTTTCTGAGACAGGTGTTGTTGACAAGTCGTCCATTTTTTTGCTTGGATCAGTCTTTTCAGCCGAATTCTCACAACTGGATTTCATTGATATTTATTATAATTATTTAAATAATAATATATTTCTTAATTAACAATAGTGTAGTACAGTAATTTTCGTATGTGTAAAAATAAAGTTAATATCTCGTTTAGAAAATAATAAAAATGAATTTGAAAACCATAAGGCACTATAAAATAGAATTGTTATTAAAAATAAATTGTTATTAAAAATATAGATGATGCAGAAGAACTTTGTTTAATTTTTAACACTGCATGAACAGAGTCGATCACCATTTTAAAATTATTTTTTTTATAATTTAATTTTAATAAAATTAAAGCTAACTTTCAGTACTTCTCAAACTTTAATGTTTTTGTTCTTAAAAATTGATAATTTGTGGTAAAACTTCGTTCTGCTAAAAATTAACAAACGAAAAAATAGACTAAAAATAAAAATTGACGTCCCGTGTAAAACAGTAAAAAAGTAAAACTAAAATTTGAGAATGGCTAACAATTACGAGTTATCTTTATTTATTTTATGCAATCATGATTAAAATATTAAAAAATTAATAGATTTTATTTTTAACACTGTGTATTATAGCAATTTTGCAATTTGATTCATTGAAGAATGAAGCCTTATTTGCTGATAATGAAAAAAAGGAAGAGTTGAGAGTTTCAACATCATAACATTTTGTGGCTGTCATTGATTTCAAAAGTACGATTAGGGTTAACAAGGAAACGTATATTATTAAAAAAATAACAGATAAAATAAAAGTTCTTATAACGTTGCTACCGTTTCAAATTTTACTTTCGAAGATTAACTAATAAAAAAATAAAACATTAGCCAAAGTACATTTTTCTATAAAGTTTCTCACTTTAAATTTTAAAAGATGCGAAATTAAGTTTGCTCATTCCATCAAGTTAAAATAATGATTTCATTTTTGTTGTTTTTACGAAAAAATATGGAATAATTAATTAAACATGCAAATAAATTTTAAAAATAAAAACAAATATATATTTTTAGAGAGCGTTACTTGTTTTGTACATAATAATAAAAAAAGCTTTGTTATTCATTACGCGAAACACTTGGTTGATTTTGTTATTCATTTTAAATGAAACACTTGACTGATATTTTAAAAAAATATTGTAAAAAGAACTTTTGTCCGACTGTTAAGATATTTTCTTAATTCACATGATGATGATGAGCAATTAATTTGCTTGCTCAGCTGAAGTATTTAACTACATTATCATAGCTTTTAAATTAAGCATTTGAAAAAAAACAACAAATAAAAGATGAAAAAAAGATGAAATAACTTAACATTTGAGGCGAGATATAACTTGTGAACCTGAAACAACCATAATCTAGTTTAAAAAATATTTTCACTATCACATCAACATTTGACGACACAAACTACTTCTTCGAAGAATGTTGACGGTGATCAACGTGAGTATGTTCCCATTTTTTAAAAAAATACCCGGACCTTTACGAACACACAACGCATCACACTACTGGTTAATTTTTGGCTATCTTTTGTTAAGTACATCAAATAAGTTATATAAACGTCAGTTTGGATATTTGCCATTTAAATTTCTTGTGTGTACGCGTACGCGAATAGGGAACGGCAACATCCCCACTACGGAAGAAAACTCCCGCGTAAAAAATACGGAATTTTTAAATCATGATCTTTATCGTTAGTTTTCTTTTAGTTTAATTAATTCTATGTGGTGTATTCCAGTTATTCGTGAAACTTTTTGATCTGACGTTTTGCTCAAGCACTTAGTATTTTAAAATATATCAATGAGTTAAAATAAATCATTTATGTTCATAAGACCTTCAAACTTCACTCAGGACCATAGCAAGATCCAATGTGTTTTTAAAAGAATGCAGTTTTTTTTTTTTTTTGAAGTGGTGAAATAAAAATTTCGCAATGGTATTTAATTTATGTAATAAACTACTATGGACAGATATTTTCTTTGGATGTACGTAAACGTTTAAGAAAGTTGCAATGTTCAAAACAAAATAGTACTATACGAAAGGGAAGGGCCATTTTCTCTTGTTTGCTGTTTTTGCAGTATTCCAAATCCAACTGAACTCTTTATCGAATACACGTTTATTTTAAAAAGAATTAACAATAATGCTTCATCATAGTTAAATATGTACTTTTCTAATTTATTTTGTAACTTTCTCACCATTAAAACTAAAATTAAACATGGGAGAAAAAAGTAAATTAGTCTTCTAATTTTGTGTTATGTACTTTCCTACAGGATGTTTTCGTTCGTTTAAAAATATTTCAATGAAAGGTTGTTTTTTTTTTAAATTGTTGTTCGTTGTTTTTTTTTCTTTACCGACACTATCGTAGTTATTACAGTAAATTAAAAATTTTGATGAAACAAGCTTGGATGAAAAAAGTGATATTCTAAGAAGTTTATTTTTTTTTTTTCTTTAAATATTCAACTTGTTCTACTTCATTGAACTTCAGATAAGAAAATAATTTTTTATTTAAAATTCAAATATTAAAAAAATTTGAATAATATTTGAATTTTAAATAAAAAATATTCAAAAAGTAGAACAAGTTGATTATTTTAAAATTTAGATTATCACTTTTTTCATCCCAGAATGTTTTTTTTATTAAAATATTATTGGAGTACGTTTTTAACGCAATGATTTCCCTATGGTTGTTCCATAACAGTTTTTTTTTGTTTTCTTTTCTTTTGTTTGTCTATTTTATTCATTTTTGTTTTACAAATTTTATGTCTCACTTGACTTTGGTTAACTATGGTTTGCTTTTAGTTCTTTTTAAATAATCTTTTTTTAGTATTTTTATATTTTAACCCTGGAGTGGATCCCATTATTATTTTTTCTAGTTCTATGCATTTATTTATTTGCGCCATTTCATTTAAGTTTAAAATCTGCAGTTTTGATAACAAAGAAAGAAGTAAATAATTTTTTTGCGTATAAAAAATATTTTTTTTATGTGTATTATTACGATAAGAACGTCATTTTATGTCATTGAAGTTTTTTTATCTGTCTATTTTTCTTCCATTTGACAACTGAAAAATACGTTTTAAAAAAAAGATTTATTTTAAATTGAAAATGTGGGCAAATAAATAGTGTGTTTTTTTTTTTTTTTTTTTTTTTTTTAAAACTTGCAAATGGCCAAATGCTGACTGTGTATAGTTTTTGTAAAAATCCTTATTTCTTAATAATGCCTAAGAAATGTGAAGCTTTAAAAATGTGTTGTTACAACATGAGGTCAGGTAAAAAGAAAACATTTTCCTTAAGCGTGATGATAGGGGTGGAGGGGCGCTAATTTGCACTTTGATATCGGTGTCACACATATATGGCGTATAGAACTTTATTTTGTTTTGTTAAATGTGTGAAAACTTTATACATTCGGCTGGTGAATTTTAGTATAGTAATTAAATAAGTCATTTCAGTAGATTTAAAGTTTGTCAATATTTACTTTAATAATTTTTAAAGTAACAAATTTTGGCCACAGAAGTCGTACTTACTTATTTGATTAGTAATTTAAATTAATTACTAATTAACCAGCTACATTACAACTTCTATTGACAAAGCAAAATGTAAAAAAAAAACAATCTAAAATATTAATTACGTACTTCATACTATAAACGTATTAGTTTATTTTAGATACAAATTACTTATTTTACTAAAAATATTATTACCTATTTTGAATAAAAATATTATTATTATTACCTATTTTCTCTGCGCCCTGGGTATAACGATAAACTACATCCGCGTCTTGGGTATGACGATAAACTACATCTGCATCCCAGGTAAGATGATAAACTACATCCAACAGCAAGGCCACTGATCAGGAGGCTTTGAGGAGCGTGGAGCCACCTCTTGGTTGCTGGTGTTTCCAGATCCGCTCTTACCTGGGGTGGTGGCACCTGTTGGGGCCCCAGCTGGGCAAATAGTTAACCCCCAAACTGGGTTTAAAACCCTTCAATACATTCTTTGAAGAAAAATTATTACCAGAAATACATTTTTGTAAATAATTATTACCAGCAATAAATTTCTGAAGAAAAAAATATTACTAACAATAAAAATCTTGTCAGCATTGAAGGTTGATATGCTGTAAACAAACCAAACCAAACCAAACCTATTTTCTCTGACTTTTTTCTTAGCTGAGGTTAACTTTTTCCCTACAATATAAAAATTAATGAATGCAACGTGTGGAGTGATTTAACTGACTTCCCCACTAAGGCAGTAGCACAAGGTGTTTTTTTATGTGAGGAACAACATGTGAGACCCCCCCTCCCTCCCAGACTTTCAGTTCACTATATCTATTGGAGCGAGAATCATTAACAACTTATGTTTCACTAATGACATTGACTTGTTGAGCAGCAGCAACTCCAAATTGCAGGGCCTCACCAACAGATTGACAGACAGAGCAGGATCATATGGAATGGACATGAGTACTGAGAGAAGAAAAGTCCTGATCAACAACACAACCAACATCAGGGCCCAAATATTCATGAATGGAAAACAACTGGAAGAATTGGACACCTTTAAATACCTTACCCTCACAAAAGATGGATGCTCAACAACAGAGATCAAGGCCAGACTGGCAATGTTAACATCAGCAATGGCAAAACTCAGTAAGAATTGAAAGAGCAAAAACATTAGCTTTCCAACCAAAATGAAGCTCTACAAGTCCCTGTTGCTGCCCATACTGCCCTATGGATGTGAAAGATGACTCTAATGGCAGAAACCACCCAGAGAGTCCAAATAAATGAAATGCTTCAGACGCCTCTCGAGATCTCCTGGAGAGAACACAAGACAAATGATTTTGTACAGGGCCAGATAACACAACTGGCAGGCCCCCAGGAGCCCCTCTTGGCAAGAGTAAAGAGGAGAAAGCTGTTGTGGCTTGGACATGTCATACACCACAATACTCTAGCAAAGACAGTCTTTCAAGGTACCTTGAATAGGAGTAGACATAGGGAGAGGCAGATTCCAACATGTACCATTGGAAAGTGTCTGAAAACCATATCATACCCTAACCCTAACCCATAGCCTTGTGAGTGGAAGTGGGTAGACAATACTGTTTGGACATCGATGGTAGTGCTAGCACAAAATCATTTGGCTATGTTTAACTACTGATCACACTAGAATATACACTCTTTTCTGAAAACTAATTACGGTTCTCTCAGCATAGTCGCAGAAACTACCAGTTGACTCCAATTGAAAAAACAAATTTTCCTGAGCAGGTGTTTCCAACAGAGATTAGCTAGCAATCCGAGTAGACTCAATACTCTCTAAAGACTAAAAGATGCCTACTTAATGACCTTGAAAAAAAAACTTTTAATTTTAGCTTGTCCAGAGTCCAGCTCAAACTTGCCTAATGTACAAACTGGAAAAAATTTTCCAAAGGTATTTGTGCATAAGTGAATATAACAAATTCAACTGGAACTTAAACTTAGCTCTCCAATTTCTCAATCTGAGACACTAACCATTACTCCACCCTGTACCTTTTCAAGCATAAATAAAAGAAAATGCTGCTTATGTTATGTTCTCAAAAGAGTCTAATATATTGAGATGGATAATTTGCTTGTCTCACAAACTTTTCTGGTAATAAAGAAAATTGTTGGAAACTTACACTAAAAAATATACAAGAATGTGTTCAAAACTTAGCTTAACAAAAAATGTGATACCCAAGGAATTTTTAAAAATATCTTTCTTGAAGCTTTTATTTTAATTTCAAGCTAATAGATTAAATTTAATATTTCTAATGTCAAAATACTTTACTGTATTTCAAAAACTAATTTAAATTGACTGGAAGAATATTTTTTTAAATAGCTGATTAGCAGCCTTTTTTAGTTGTCTTTCAGTGCAATGTAGTTCTCTTTATTAAAAAATCTTCCAAAAATAAAAATGACTTTTGAGAAACTTTGAGAAATATTAGCTGATTTGAAGTATAATTAATCTGATTTGAAATGACTATTATTTACTTTAAGAATAAAATAAAGCAGAAATGCATTTTTTAACCAGGCAGTAGCTTTTTTTGACATGTTGATAGCCTGATGACAGGTTTGATGTTGTATGCAGACTTTTTGTAAAACATAATTGAAGAAAATGACATGAGCACCTTTTTTTATTTAATGTTAAGTATTTAGTAATCTTAAAAATTTAGGAAAATATTCTCTGTAATCTAATGTTTTATTTTTAGAAATGTTGGCTTTAGATTTAATATAGTTATTGCTCTTATTTTCTGATAATGTTGTGTATGGTTGCCTATACTTACAAAAATTGGCATGTATATACATATACAAAAAAAACTTGGAATTCTTTTAAAAATATTAGTGTTTGATGATTTGTATTAAAATTTTTCATTTATGGTTAGTAAATATAGTTTTTACTTAATAATAATAATAATAATATCATATAAAAGGCTGAAATTAATACAGGATTTTAAA